GTTCTTAAAGGCAGCCTAGCATAGGGGAGGCTGCCCTCGCATTTATCAATGTCTAATATCTAAGAAGGTACTGCAATAATTACACTAGCAGTTTGTTGGTCTATGCCTCTGCCCAGTCAATCCTACAGTGCAAACGTAGCAGGTACACCGAGACTTCAGCTTCCACAGTCTAAGGACAAGTACCTTTATTAAGTGCACTACAGACTGAAATATATGCACACCACTCCGATTCGGCCTGCCAAGACCTTGAATCAGTTGACAAGAACACGGCACATTTGCTCACATACTCGGCTTAAAGCCTCTGTGAAATGCATCTGTAAATTCCAACTTCTGAATTCTAGAAAGACGTGTTGTCACATAGGAGAACTGAGATAACAGGCTTAATCTTACTGTTCTTGAGCTGCAGGAACAGAGAAACAAGTCTACTCACTTGTCACTGACTTGACTGAATATGCTAGAAGAGTTAGTAATCTGATGACAGGAGTTAAGCACTGTTAGAAAACAACCACTTCAAGAACAGAGTTAATCACTAGCAAGTTCAGACAGGTTATTCCCAATGAGGGCATGATGCTTATCATTTACCCCAGATACCTCATTTCTCCTAATTTTCTCACCAGCATTTGCTCTTCTGTGCTCTCCCAAACTCACTCCTTTGGGAAAGTTTAATCAACACAGTTTGGACTACTCATTCTCCATAATATGATGGACTTGTAGCTAGTTCTTGGATTGGGCTTTCACCTCTAGAGGCACGAAGAAGCTCCCTGAACTTACTTGTCTTTATTATGTACTAGAACAAATGTCAATATCAAGTGATTTACTGGGCTTATCTCTACTTCAGCAAGCCATCTGCCTTCTTATTTTGTCTCAACATTTTCCACTTCTGGGGGTAAGCAAGGCTTTAATATATCATTAGCTTACTTGGAACAGCTGTCCGGTTCAATATCCTCATCACGACCATCATCAATCTTTACTGTGGGCTCTTCTGCTGCTGGAGAGCTGGCAATGGGACAAGGTAAGTCACATACTGATACAGATGTCAACTTTATACATTGCTACCCTTTGTTGTTCCAGAGAAAATAACATTACCTATCAGCCGAGCAGTGAACAGCAGCCTGGGCCAGAGCACAGGCACAGTACCAGGGGAGGAAAGACTTCCCATACATCGGCGCAGCAGAACCCCTTGGCTTGTGCTGACCTAGCTCCTGTCAGCAATCCACCTCTCAAAAGTTTTTTTGGGGGGAGGAAGGGAACAGATGCGTTCAGCAACAGGACAAAAGGCTTTGAAGTAGGGCATCCAAGAGTCCACTGAGGACTTAACAGTCCAGTCCAGACTCTGGAAGTGCTGGAAACATATGTATGCAAAATTGCCTCAGAGAGTGCAAATGACATTAACGCTATTACAGTAAACTACTTGTTCAGAGAACGAATGTTTCCACCAGGAAAAGCCATAGCACAGAGATGTTTTTGTGCAGAGCAGGATACCAGACCGGAAACTGGAAGACCAGAGCAGCAGCAGCTGAGCTAGTGCTGGAACAGCATATTTTGGGGGTAGTGGCTGCCTGCCATCACTTCCTTAAAAGGGTCTCTTTAGATCAAGTTTTTTTTCAGCCACCTGAGAAGCTCTGAAGGCCACGTGACGACTTCAGAGAAAAAGTGTAATACCCAAATCCAGGAGTTTCTAATTAAGCCTGCTCCACAGAAATACTGTGCTGCGTAAGAGCACAACCACAGTGTTTGCTGTGGCTCTGCCTCTGGCATCATTGCTTCTTGGGCAGGAGCAACGACATACAAATATTCAATATTGATGTTTCCATGCTGTTCTGAGGCAATAGAGCATGCCTGAAGTATTAGTGTAACAGAGGACCCATGTATTCTTCATCCTCCACAATGGACCCATGCACCAGCACTGCCGGCTAAACCCCTTTTTAAGCAAAACATTTAATGATACGTTTCCTACGGTTTCAGCAACCAATACGGATGGCTCGCCACCTGCACTCAGTACCAGCCTGAAGAGAGGAATGATTCCACACCCCACCAACAACTGTGGCATTTAAGGCTAATTTTCCAGCTCCAGTATCTTAATTTTGTTCCCAGAACTGAAGCGAAGCTCTGTCGGTGTATGGCCACTCAACTTTACTGCCCAGCTATTCTTACGGTATATTCACTTAGGAGTTTCCACTTAATGTACAGCTGAAATGCTTCACTCATTAAAACAGGTTGCTGCTGCCACAGCAATTTTGCTGCAGGTCACTTGCTTATACTTGTAGACACATGAAGTGCACCAAATGCCACCTTCTTATCCTCTACTGTGATTAAAATAAGCCAAAATAAGAACGAGCAACAGCAGTGTTTTGGGTTAGGAAGCCAATCTTCAACACAAAAAGAAAACAGAAGCCAAGCCTGAGTACACTGTTTCCACTGTGCTCTCACACAAAAATTCAGTTCTAGATAATGCTTTCCTCAGAGGGAGTTTGTTTTGCTGAGCACTCTACATCTACTTGTTGTCCAAGCTGGAACAAACTCTCAGTCACAAGCTACCACATCTAGTCTTTGACTACTGAAATGGAAAAGAAGAAAATGAGAATATACTAGAAGAACTTATTTCCTCCCCACACACACTCTCCACACAGAGCATAAACTTTTCTGACTGCTCACAGCTAAAGGGAACTTCAGAATTGAGGCTTTTAAGGAGAACGGAGCAAGAGCATCTTGCTCAACAAGAGACCTTGCCAGTGTTTCTGGATGCTAAAAGAAAGCAGGATTTACTGCCATGAGCTTATTATACCAGAGCTGGGTGCTCTATACTTCTTAATTAGTTCTTAACTGCTTGCAAGAAGTCAATCAAGACAGCATATTGCTCTCAAAGATACCACTCCTCTCAGACAACAGCATTTTAAGGGAGAAATACAAAGTCTATATGCTATACAGGCTTCAAGCGCTCTATCATTACTCTCCTTGTTATATTTAAAGCACTAAGAAACTCTACACCGGGGACCACACGCAGCATATTTCAATCCCAAACCCATGCAACGGCGCAGTTCATTTCACTCACCTGGATGATTCTGTCAGCTCAGCCCCTTGTTCATACCTCACAGTTGTCATTTTGCCCAGTGTTGCTCTGCTGATCTTAAGAGAAGCACATCTAATTAATGAGATATGAGTACCAAAAAAAAAAAAAAAAAGAAAAGAAAAACACACTAGTGAATACCAGCATCCTCGAGCAGCCTCAGACTTATGTTACCAGCGGACAAGCTTCTGCTTAATTCTCTGTTACCTCCCTCTGCCCCTCCACAGCTGACAGAGGACAGTCTTTATAAGGCTCGTGAGAGCCAGCACGCCCCGCAGCACGGCGGGTTTTTTTTACTATATCCAATACGCCACCGCAGCAATAAAGCGGCACCTTTACCTCACGGCGAAGCGCAGGAGGGGCCGCGGGGACCCGCGGGGAGCTGCCGGCGCCCGTCGGCTCCTCGGCGGGGAGGCCCGCGCCTCCGCTCCCCCAGCGCGGCCTCACCGCCCCGGGCGGGGGAACCGGCTCCCTCCGCGGCCGGCGCGGCCCCGCCAGCAGCCTCGCCGCTGCCCCGGGGAGGCGCCAAGCCGCCGGGACCCCTTCCCGCCGCGGGTCCCTCAGCCCCGGCGCCCGGCGGCCCCCCCACACGCGGCCCCCCCACACGCGGCCCCGGGGAGCGCGGCACAGGGCCCGCGGTGCCCCCCCCCCCCCCCCCCCCCCCCCCCCCGCCCCTCACCTCAGCGCGGCCGCCCGCCACGCTCGAAGCCGAGCCCCAGGCACCCGCCCCCCGCAGGCTCGGCGGAAAGGTGCGTTCGGCTCCCTGAGGGCTGTTCTAACCGACACCCCCCCGCACACACACAGACACACAGACAGACAGACACACGCACAGACAGGCACACGCACAGACAGGCACACGCACAGGCACAGACACACACGCACAGGCACAGACACACACGCACAGGCACACACGCACAGGCACACGCACCCCCTCCCCGCACACACACCCCCTCCCCACACACACCCACACACACACACACACACACACACCCCCACACACACACACCCACCCCCCCCCCACACCCACCCACCCACCCACCCACCCACCCACTCCCCACTCCCCACTCCCCACTCCCCACTCCCCACTCCCCACTCCCCACTCCCCACTCCCCACTCCCCCCCCGGCCGCAGAGCCCCGCTCGCTCACCCGCCCAAACCGCACCGAGGCACAAACCCACCGCGGGCCGCGGTTAAATGGCCCGGCGGCGCCTCACCGGGGCCGCCCCCGCCCGGCCCCCCCCGCTCACACCGGCCCCGGCCGGGCCCGCCGCCCTCCGCCGGAGCTCCGGCCGTTCGGGGCTGGTCCCCTCCGCTCCCGCCGCGCTTTCGGTGCCCTTCAGCGCATCTCCCGTGGCACGGCGGCTGCCGGGGGCTGCGGTGGGGCCGGGGTTGGTCCGCGGGGGGGCTGTGGGGCACGGCGGCTGCCCGCCCCCCGGGGCCCAGAAGCGCGGCACGGAGCGCTCAGGTTTTACCGGGCGCCGGATGTTTTTGCAGAATCGGAATCCCGCAGGGCTGGAAACGGCGCGTGACGCGGCCCGGAGCAGCAGCCCCGCACGGCGGAGCGGGGCCGGGGCCGGGGCCGGGGCCGGGGCCGCGGGGGGGGGGAGTCTGCGGGGGGGGGGAGTCTGCGGGGGGGGGGTGTGTGTGTATGCGGGGGGGGGTTCTGCGAGGAGGGTGTGTGTTCTGCGGGGGGGGGGGTGTGTCTGCGGGAGGGGGGTGTTCTGCGGGGGGGGATGTGTGTTCTGCGGGGGGGGGTGTGTGTGTATGCGGGGGGGGGTTCTGCGGGGGGGGTTCTGCGGGGTGGGGGGATGTTCTGCGGGGTGGGGTGTGTTCTGCGGGGGGGGGGTGGTTCTGCGGGGGGGGGTGGGTTCTGCGGGGGGGGGTGTGTTCTGCGGGGGGGGGGTGGGTTCTGCGGGGGGGGGGGTTCTGCGGCGGGGGGGGGGGCTGTTCTGCGGGGCGGCCGGCAGCAGAGGGAGCTCAAAGCGAGCTGCTCTTGGGGGGCTGCTCCCGGGGCTGCCGGAGCTCGGCGTTAACCGGTGGCAGGAGCCTTTCCCGACGCCTCTCACCCAAGAGAAAGAAAATCTTTAAGTGGAATGCCAAGACTAGGGAGCTTTTCTGGGCAGCAGACTAAATGAAAAGTTTCCCTTTCAAACATGTCATATATGTAAATATATGTACAGAGAGGGGTAGCGAGTAATGAGCTATCTTTGGTGTATTCAGATAATTCCGCAGTCGAGGAACAGCTAAAGATGGGTAGAAACTAAGCTGGATGATAGAAGAAACATTCAATTAATTTGCTCTTAGTTCTGGGGAAAAAAAAAAAGAAAAAAAGCTTACATGTGCAGGTTATTTAGTACAGGCTTGATCCTGTGGCCCATGCGAGTATCGTGGGAGTTGCTCTCACCAGGTGCGTGTGCCTGTGCAGCACCTCCTGGGGAGGGGGCCGCACGGGAGAAGAGGGTAGAAACAGAGAAGTCTGGTTTTGCCCGTCCTGGGGTCTGAAGGCACCAAGGTGTGAAGGCGGTTTGGGTATTAAAGTGGACTTTTTTCGCAGAACAACCCGTAACAAGCAAAGGACAGGCTGGAGGCGGGAGGCTCCCGCGTTGGCGCTCGGACTGAAAGCCAGGGCTGCAAATGAGCCAGCTTGCTAGAGGCTGGAGATGAACTGAAAAAGGAAAAACGGGTCTTCCCGTGTTTCACCAAATACGTACACACTGCATTGCCAGTGATAACACCGGTAACTGTTCCCTTCTGTGTTGCTAATCTTACCGCACTGGTGATGCTGTAGAAGATTTGCCAGCTCTCATGCGTCATCGTGAGTTGCCTGGTGGCTGATATATTTTCTTAAAACCCTAGCTTCTGGACTCGGATGGCTCAAATAAAAACGCCACCTTTTTTTATTAATAAAATCAAATTTCTAGCTCTCCGCTGGTGGAAAAAAGCGTAGGAACAAGATCCAAGGTTAATAAAGCTAAAAATAAAAAAGAAGCATTGAAAATATTCCGTTTTTTTAATTCAAGACTTGTAAATAATTTTCATTGTATTTTGCTGGTTAACTCATTATACTGACATTTAAAAACCCCTCCGAATCCAGGTCTGATCCCTTAACAATTATTCATCAGTGTAAAAGGGCGGAACTCTCAACAAAATGCAGAAAAGATTGAAATGTTCAGTAAATAATCCAGCTACATACTAGGCAGAGCACAGGATGGAGTATGCATATCTCAGAGGGGTGATGACATACTTTGCATTCCAAAAATAACAGAGAGGGTGGTAAACAGAATCTCTTAACTTGACAGATTTTAATATCGGTAGGTATGGCTCATTTATATCTGATACTCTTAAGAGAGACGGCCAAGAAAAATAATTTTAGTAAGTCTTGGGATAGCAGAAATACGGAGATAATTGGGGGAAAAAAAAATATCAGTTCTCTGCCAATTTTAGAAGCAGGTAGATCAGACGACCTGATGATGATAGATCTGTCAGTTTGGCTTTGCTCCCAGATGGAATGAGAGCAGAGTAGATAGAGGTTTCGACTAATAAAGTATTAAAGAAGCCTAGTGATGATGATGATGATGATAATAATAATAATAAATACCAATCAACATGTGATTAGGAAAAGTGATTCCTGTCGAACTAATTTATATTTCTAAAAGAAGATCACAGGTTTTACTGATAAAATAAAAGTATTTTGTTGCTTCTGTAAGTGACTGTCTGGCTAGAAAATCACTTTGATTAAAAAGGTAGAAGAATGTGAACCCAATCTGGTTCGCATTGGGAAAAGTCCAGCACACTTATCTTAAAATAACTAAAAGGGGAACCATCCTTGAGCAATTCCTTTCAAGAAGGGTTCTGCAGGCATTGGGTGCTGCCTTAAACCGCTTGATGTGTTGTTTTGTTTTCAACCATGTTTAAGCCATGCCCCTGGTAAGATCCCGAGGGACGAAGTTCGCAGCTGACGCGGCGGTTGGAAAAGTGGTCGGACAGGAGGAGAACGGCTGGCTAGCACCGAGCAAACTGTGGCACCTGGTAAGTTCAGCCGAGCGAGCCGCGTGCTTTTCCAGACACCCGCTGCCAGTATCGGAACAACGGGCCTCGGGGTAGTGCTTTTCAGCCCTCGGTACCTGAAGGACCATGCAACAACTTTTTTAAAAAAATCCTTGGTCCGCTTACAGTCCCACTAGCTGTCACTGCAAGACACCTGCCACCTGCATGGCCCGCGTGTGTACGTGTCAAAAAGCTTGCCAGCATCTCTGGACTAACTTTTCGTGTGTTGTGAATCACATGAATTTCGTGTGTTGTGAATCACATGAATTTCGTGTGTTGTGAATCCTGCCTGCAGGGAGTAACGCCGTGGCGGGTCAGACTTGGAGCATCAGTGACTGCATTATGAAAACGGGTAACTGAAAAATCCTGGGGTAGGCATAGGGAGTGACCAGCCACAGGTGACCGTAGCTCTGTTGGCAAAAGGTACAACAAGGATCCACAAACAGGAAGGCTGTTGGGCTGGACGTCTTGCTTGAGCCCTTTACTTGGCTCCCGTGTGCTCTCAGGTCTCCAGTCTCGATAACCACAACTCCAGAAGGAGGAGGGAAGGGCCCTGACGTGAGCAAAAGGCTGTGAAGTGCCCTCATCCCACCGGGGTCACGGAGCTCAAAGCTGCCCATCTTCTGAAAGGAAAGACAAGTGACTGAATCGCAGTTGGCCAGGGCTGGATCTGGAAAAAGGTCTAGGTGCCCAAAAAGGGGTGTAAGAAGACTTAAAGTTTCAAAATTTAGATCTAGAAAGGTTCGGCAACTGCCTAACCCTAGAGGCAATTGAATTGATAGGGCACCTCTCCGTTGGGTGGCAGGGATCCCCCCCGGAACCTTCCGTTCTGCTCCTGTGCGTGCCCTGGACTGTCCTGGCCACGTATCTCTGCTGCTTGCCCCTGCCCGGGGCCGATCAGGACCCTGAATCCGGGCCGAGGCGTTCCGCAGTCCCTAGAGCCCCTCAACAAAAGCCGAGCGAGACCACCCCCAGCACACGAAACCACCCCGGCAGCAAACTTCTTCCTGCCCTTCCTCCCTCCCCAGGCCAGCCCAGTGCCGTGCCCCGCAGCGCGCTTCCCTCGGGACGTGCCCGTGCCACGGTGCCCAGCCTCCCCCCAGCACAAGCCCTGTGCCACCCCTGGCTCCAGGACCCTCCTGGCTTTCCCCCAGCACCTACGCCCGCAGCCGCAGGAGGTAACGGGGGGTTTGGGGGTCCAGCCAGAGGCAGGCACACGGCTTGTACGTACCCGGACCCGGCCTTGAGAAGGGCAAAATACATTCGGCAGCAGAGGGCCCTTCCCCATCACAGAGTCAGGCATCGTGAGATGAAAAGGCTGCAGGATGAGGTTCGGCAGAGTCAGACCCGGGGCGAAAAGCTGCAATAATTAACAGTGCGGGTTAGTAAGTGGTGGAAGAGCACGCTAAGTTCTGTGGCTGGTTCACCAGCACTGAATATTTTACACCAAAATGTCTCTTCCTCAAAAGAGATGCTCCCGTTCAAATGGGATTGAATGAGGTCAGGGGAGTTCTCTGACCTGAGGTAGGTAGAAGATCACGCAGATAACCCACATATTCCCTCTGGCCTTGTGACTAATTCCCTTTGGTACAACTACTCCTGATGTAAGTGAGATCACTCGGATCTGTGCTTGCCTTCGGGAACTTATAAACTAATTATGTTTGTTGTGTCAACCTATCAGATACTCATAGGCTGCATGCAGACTCGTTCGTTAGACTGAATTATGTCTTTGCTCTTTGAACGTTATCAAAATATTCAGATCTAGCATGTTTCATGGTTTGCCACCATTACTCCTTCTTTGTACACAGATTTCTGTGGTTATTCCTTGCTAACAAACCACAGGCTTTTAATGCACATATGATGGTTTCGGTTATTTCGTAGATAGAAACTATGTGGCTGATGTCATCCCGATCTTTTAAATTTATCTTACTTTTGATGAAACCCTTTATTGCTAGATTAAAAAAAAAAAAAAAAAGTTTCAGATCTCATATATTAACTTAGTTTTAAAAGACCTGGCAGCCCAGATTCCTCCAGAAGATGTAGAGCAGCTCACACATCAGGAGCCTGCAGGCTCCGGGTACCTCCACACCTGCAGTGCCTGCACAGGAGCCTGGTCCCCGGCTTCTCCCAGTGAGCGGGGCATTCATGGAAGGTGGGATCTGATAGGGAAGTATGAAAATAATGGCAAATTCATAAAGCGCCTGGTTTCAGTGCAAAAGAGCTGTTTTGGTTGGAGTTGGCTCCCGACTACTCTGAATTTTCCTAGGGCACGGGAAAGCAGTCAGACTCTTGCTGTGAAAACCTCAGGTCTCTGCACCTCCTCTGGAGCCCACCTCATTTCTTCCTTTCCCCCTTTAAGAACAAAGAAACGAGAAGGAACTGGTCTTGGAAGAGTTTTGAGGTGCCACCACTGCCTTCCAGCTGCAGTGACGTTCTGTTGGGCTCCGGGGGAGTGAATGTCCATCGGGCATCATCTTCATCTCTTCAGCCCAAGCCACCCCCAAGCCGTTCTTCCTGGGGGCAGCCCCGTGCCCCATGACTGGAGGAACAGCAAGAGCTGCCCCGGAGTCACTCTCTTCATTCCTGTTTATCCACCGGTTTGCATTCTTCCTCTGCTGGCTGTGCGTTTAATCTGTGAATAATCGTTTTTTTATGACTGTTATTCAGCACCTATGTACTTTTGCTGGAAGGAGGGTGGAGGAGAGCAGGGTGGGGAGGTTTTCAGTTAACGAAACTGTTATTATTTGCTGACAAGATCAGTGAGTATCTCAGGAAGAGGGAATTTGATCTCCTTCCAAGTAACTAAACAGGAATTTGCACTGCAGAATAAGTGTGAATATGTGTATTCCAGGGAAAAAAAAAAAAAAAAAAAAAAAAAAAAAGAGCATTTGCAGTTGCATTTCCTAGGGATTTCAACATCTGTGAGAAAAAACATCAGTGACCACACAGTGTCCACATTCTCTGTGACGACTCGATTATTTTAGCTCCGGGCCAGCGGAGCAGTACATGAACACACCCTCCTGCTAGACCTACTTCACGTGAACTCCACCACCTGGCAGCCCCTCTCCGGCGCTTCAGATATTCCTGAAGCTTCATCCAGCCTGGGGAAGGTAAGTTCATCGCGAAGCGGGTACGCAGGAGACACGTTCCAGCTGACTGGGCTTCTCACAGGCAGACGCTGGTGAGGCTCGTGCTGGTGGAGTCCTGGAGAGCGAGCGAGAGAGCTCCAGACGTCCTGGATGTTTGGGGGGGGGGGTGTCCCTCAAGGAGGGTTGGAGTTGGGAGTCCTGTTCCTGCAAAGCTGCAGCCACATAACAGCATACAGACGAGTCCCACCGGGACCGCAGCTCCGCCGCCCCCTCCTACACGGCCGGGGGGGGGGGGGGGGGATGTTTTGCCGTCTGGGCAAGAGCGTAAATTGGAGTGCGGCATCTCAAGCGTTGGCTGACCGGCCTCAACCGAGCAGGAGGTGCGGGTGGAAGCCCCAGGGGATGGCGAGCAGCCCCCCCTGCTCTCACAGGCGAGGCACCCGAGCTGTCAGCTGCAGCCGCTGGCCAAAGGGACAGAAGGAAGGGCTCAGAAAGGCTGAGAAAAGAAAGGGCTGGAAAGGAGAGGAGACGTTTCACTCATGTAATTCCCCAGTTGCCCAAACCAGCCTCAAACGGGGGGTAGGGAACAAGTGGGAAGGGAAGCGCTGTTTACATAATCCTTTGGCAGTGAAATGGGTCAGCGGTTCTTGCGGGAGAAGAGGAATGCAGTTTTTATGAAATAAACAGCATCGCTGTACTTGATAATGGCTGGACAGTCCTGCTTCCTTGGAGAGTAACACAGAAGTTTACTATGGGCTTGTACTCCTCGTCTCTTGTCCCCACGGTCTCTCCTCTGAACACAGCTCTCTAAAATGGACTACTCCTGCTGTTTTCTTTAAAATAATCTGTAATTCCTTGGCCATAACACAAAGGGAGGCACCCATCTGTTTGTTTGGGTTTGTTTTTTTTTTTTTTTTTCTCTCTTCCACAAATGTCCTTGTTTGTGTTAACTAGCAAATCTAATCATCCAGCTCGGAGGAGAGTTACACAACTGCAAACCCCTGGAGATTTCAGCGGAATAGCAAATCTTGCCTAATACCCCCGTGTCCGCTCCTTGCTTCAGATTTGCAGCTCCTTTGGTGAAGGACACAGCTGGGCTGTGATTTTACAGATAAACCAGATTAAGCAGCAAAAAGGAATGCAGAATGGAAGCACTCTGTTATTTCCACCTTGCAGGACTTACTGAAACGAGCCTGGCTTTACGAAACATGAGATAAAGCTCCCACGGGGAGCGTTAGTCCGAGTGATTCATATAAACAAAGAAATCGGTCTTGGTCGAGCTTCCTAGGCGAATAAGGTGGGTAATGGTACACAACCAGCAGAGCCCCTCTCCTTTGGAGAGCACTGCTGATAGAAGCCTAACTGTCACTTACCCTCACTGGGAAGCAGCAGGATGAGTCCTGGGTAGCAACGGGTAACCCGAGGTTTGGGTAACTCTTTCACATGAGGAATTGCGCGTGTCTTTTCTGTGGCACTGCCTGGTGCTGCGAAACATTCTCCGTCTGCGTCCTTGATGTGGGCCATCTGGAAAGGAAAATCTCATCAGCCTCTAGAAATGCAGCCAGGTTTACGATCACTTTCTTTTGCAGTTGACTTTCAAGGGAGATCATCTCACCAGGAGGAGGCCTGAAGGAAAGGCGAGTTGCAGGTATGTGCGTTTAGGAGTCGCTTTCTTGCCCTCCGGTCTGCACCGCCCGGTTTTCAGCAGCTGTTGCTTAAACCCATCATCCTTCCCGTCAGCTTTTTGCTTCCAGCCACAGGCTCCGCGCGGTCCCGACCTCGACGCCGGTGCTGCGGCACACCGCCGGGAACGGCTGCGGGGTGTAACGACCAGCGGTCACGGGCCGGGGGGGGGGGGGGTTCCCCTGCCGTAATACCGACCTCTCCTCTCCGCCAGCTGAAATAAAGCCACGGGCTGGAGCACCCGCCCGCACGGCGTCTTTCCTGGGGGCCTCTCCCGGGGCACCGCTCCCCTCAGCTTGCTCCGGGCCCTGGCTGCCCCCCGGCAGGCAGCTCCCCGTCGCAGCGGTGCTGCTGGCCCCGGGAGCAGCCCCGGCTCCCGCCGGAGCCGACACAGAGCGTGTCGGTCAGCGTGCACGGCCAAGCTGCCGCAGCACTTCCAGATGTGAAGCGGGGGGAGCCGGTTTTAGCCCATTTTTCAGATCTTTTTAATTCATTCTGATCTTTTTTTTTTTTTTTTTTTTTTTTTTTTAAAGCACACTGCGAACCATTCGTACTGTTCGCTTGCATTCAACTGCGTGTTTCCAGAGGCAGCTGCTCAGCATTTTTCTAGCTGAGACATTCTGACCGAAGCCCCACCTGTGCGCGGAGGCAGGTCAGCAGCGGAGATCTCTTCCACTGAAATCCAGGCGAAAACTATCCCAAGCCCACCCTGTCCCACGCGTGACCCCTGCCCTCAGCCTCCAGGGTAATCCCCCCCCGACAGGCCACTCCATGCACTGAGGAAGGGCAATGCCTACACTCACGCAACCAGGAGGCAAAATTCCCCTGAAACTTTGGGGAGTTTGGACTGAATAAGGACTGTGCAATTACAGCCGACCAGGGTGGCGAGGAGTGCTCCGAGGGGGCGTTATTGCTGAGTAACCCCCCATCCGCATGGGCACTCGGGAGGAAGGACAGAGGCTGCTGGCAAGTCACACTGGGTATTTATTTCTCCAGGGAAGCAAGAGCTTGGAGCTAAGCCTCGACCTCCCTCTCAGCACACTCCACCGGTGCTTCAGCTTCTCCCGAACTTGCATCTTTTCCTCAGCTTTTCCCTGCCTGTAGTTTCAAGCAACCTCCTTAGCAAACCCTGCAGCGTTTTCCGGGGAATTAAACATGATTGTGAGAGAGGATTAAGCTGTGAGAGGAACTAAAGAAACCTCCAGTGCTGCCTGTCGATGCTTCATTTCAGGTGATAAGGAATGAGTGTGATGATGACCTGGTTTCTGCTGCTACTTCTCCTGATCAGCTTTGGCTCTCCTGCACCCAGGTTTTCGGTGTGTATCTTTTAGCTAGCGTCTGTTCAACTTCTCAAGGGTTTACTATTCCCAGCCTTGTAGAGACAGGCGTTCCCCCACAAGAGGGATGGAGACCTGCAAGAGCAGAGTAAAAAGGCATCTGCCTGCAGATAAAGGAAGGTGGCTCTTACTGTTCTGGTAATGTAGGTTTTTCATGGCATTAGGGGCTGTGCAGCTCTCTGGGTGGCTGGACTGACATTGCCAAGAATTAAAAACAAGAACAACAACAAAAGCCTTTTTTTTTTAAAAAAAAAAAAAAAGTAATTGTATGGCCAGTGAAGAAATACTCCACTCCTTTCCCTCCGGGAGAGCTGCCTTCATTTATTCACTGTGATTTAAAAAGCGGGAAGGGGAAGAGGAGGAGGGCGTAGAGTGAGGCAGTCCGTGCTCTTCTGAGGAGCGCGCTTCTCGTGGGCCATCCCAGCAGGGTACAGAGCTCGGCAAGGGGCGTTTGGTGAGCACGGGGGCTGTCTGCAGCAGGTCCCCGTGGGCCTCCAGCCTAGAAATCCTCCTCTGGGGAGGAAAACCAGCAGGCACAGGAGAAGGAAGAGGCACCTGGGAGGCCACACTTGAGCACGCTCGGCAGCCTGCTGTCATGGGCCGCTGCTTGGTTTGCTTGTGCTTAGAACTGGCCCTGACCGGGTATCACCCAAGCCAGCTTGCTCAGAGCGAAAGTGATTCTTATTGCACAGGTTTGCGTGGGTGTCTTGGGAGAGATTTTACTCTGTTTTGTTATGTTTTTAATGGAATAACACCAGCCACAGACTAGATTGTTGCTGAAAATACTTATCCAAGCCAGTGGGGGTCAGATGCTGGTCTTGGTTACGATAACGCAGCTCTGAAGTTATACCACTCACTGCTTTCTGCTGATTTGTGCCAAATATCAGCTCTTTTTTCTTCCAGTTTTACAAGATGTTTCTAGAACCTCACTGATTTGGCCTGGCTGCAGTGCAAGAGCTGAGTTTTCCCCCTCTTACTACCCTGAGCAGTTCCCTAGTCTGCAAACACTCCCCTTGACCTCATTAAAGGGGACTCGAGACAAATTATTTGTGTCCAAAGTAATTTTTTGCGCATCTGATCGTATTCTGGGGTACTCCGGGCAGTGGCAAGGTCACTGCAGAAAACCCTTTTCCACGGGGTTCAACTTAACAGCCCATGTTGTGCAAGGTTTGTATATCTTAAGAAGAGACCACCATCGAATTGCCCTGATCCAGAGAGGCAGTGTGGCGTGGTAGGGTCAAGAGGAGACAGATACTCCTTCTCTCTCTGCCTCTCTGTGCTGACCACTGACTGAAGCATGGGGGGGGGGTTTGTTTTATTTTCTCCACAGGAAAAAGATATCTGCCTCCTAGACAACAATAAATTAAGACAAAGGTTAAAACATCTCCAAGACTTGCTTTACTTATATGAACTGCAGCTGAAGGACATCCTGGAGAACACTTACCACAGAACAAAAAGTGGGCTGTTCTCAGGCAACAGGAGTGTGCAGCATGAGACCCTCTTGCCCACAACCAGTGGAAATTTGATAGTCTATGACCAAGGTACAGTTTGCAGCAGTGTTTGCAGAAATTTCAGCTTGCCACAATGTTTTGTTTTTTTTTTTTTTTTTTCCCTGCAGCGTCCCGTGTGCCATATTTTATTTCTGGTACAAGTTTTACAATTTTTAAAGTGGATTGTGCTTTAAAATGCAGTTAGATACGTGGGAAGGGGAAGGGCAGACTGGTGGCCCTGGTGCCAGCAGAAATCCCTCCGGCCCAGCTTTAGGCAGCTGCCACCCAGGTACCACACAGATACCTGCAGCTGGGCTCCTCGCCTGGCACTCCGGTGCAGAGAGGCACAAGCACCTCTCCAGTGTTTTCCATCAGACCTACTGGAGACATCTGCTTTGGTCAGAGACGGGTCTTGCTCTTGAAGAGCCCGTTTCTCCTGAGCGACTGAGAGGAGCCCGGGGCGCCTGGCTCGGCTGCAGGCACTGGAGCCTGTTTGGAGGAGTCCAGCCCCCCTGTTCTTCAGCTCCTCCATCACTTCTGCCGTGCAGCAGCAGGCATGCACACTCTGCTCCCTGCTGTCGCTCTGGGAGCACCGTCATAACTGGGATTGTGGCCTGTGGCCAAGACTTTATCTTTCCTGGGCATTACGCTGAAAGTGGGGAGAACTGAGGTCCTGAAAGGCACTCTTCTGATACAGCCCCGGTAGAGCTGGTCGCAGGGCCTTAGCCTCTTATTTTAGAAATTTTGGGCCCCAATCCAATCGGAAGTATAGCTGAGGTTGCTTCCCACGTGGAAGTTACCCTCCCTGCAGATGATCCCGCTGACAGCCGATCCCGGGCCTGCCTCGCTGCCGTGCTACAGCCCCAGCCTGACCTGCAGCCATCCCGTGTCTCACCACACGTCTGAGACCGAGTCCCTCCGGAGGCTCGGCTGTAAGAGCTCTCAAGCCCTGCCGCTCTTTGCCAGCCCCAGAAGTTTGCAATCCAGCAGCGCTACCCCCCCCCCCCCCCCGACCCATTTGCTTTGCCCTCGCAGGGCTTGCAGAGCCGTACGCAGCCTGGCCAAGTGTCCCGGTCCCACGCAGATCTCCCGGCGGGGTCTTCTCCCGGCTCCGCACAACCCTTTGCTTTCCCCTGCCCCCAGCCCCATTTAACAGACTGAAACCATTCTGCCTAGACTGCTCCGCAGTGTATAATCGGAAGAAGACCCAACCCGGCTACTACCGGATCAGGCCCCGGGCAGACCGTGAGCCCTTCCTGGCGTACTGTGACATGTCTGACGGCGGCGGGTGGACCGTCATTCAGCGGCGGAGTCACGGCAGGGAGAATTTCAACAGGTGGGTGCAGGCACGGTGGCACCGGCCGGGCTTTGCCGTCGGGCCTCCAGCTCCACAGCCCCGGCCCCGCCGCCCGGCAGAACCCCGCGCCCGAGATGCGCGGTGCGCAGCAGCTCGCTTCAGCGGCCGTAACTCCTCCCGCTGGGACACGTATTGCTGGCAGGAGGCTATCTTCCAGACGGACGTAAACGCCTTGCCCGTGGCTCCTCCGCGTTTGGATAAGCGCGCGCGCGTGTTATTTTTATCATTATTGGAGGCTAACAGAGGCTCTCGGTTGGCGGGTGTGGGCTGCCAGCGCGTAGGCTGAGACCTGCTGAGCGTATGATCTGCTCTCGTACCAGCAGTTCCGTTCAGCATGGTGTCGCGTTGATTTTGTTATTCGAAAAGATGCCAAACCACTGGTCCGGATTGTCCTTTCTCTATGAAAACCCCAGAGAGGCCACTTTCACCTAGAAATCTCCAAGAGGAGATGCGCTCTGGTAGCACGGTGAGGAAGAAACGTCTCTGTGGAGCTTAATTCACCGTGGGAGCACACACAGTTTCAGGGCATGTCTGGTGGTTTTTCCAGAGAGTGCAGTCCCTTGCAAAGCTGCCTCACCTGGCTCTAAGCTGGCTCGCCCAGAGCGTGGTAGCTATCCAGCCAGGCTAGTTCCACTCTCAGCACAGGTGAGTGAAAAGCATCCTGAGGAGAAGCACTGACTGACACGTAGGTCAAGCAGAATAATATCCCTAATAACAGCATGAGGAAGGGAATAAATGCGGGGTTAGTAAAACTGGAAATTATTATACAGAGGAAGTATATGTGAATATCAAAGATAATACATAAATAACGGAGGAGATTTTAAGAGAATGAAATGATGAGAAGAAAGTAACAGCAGGAGATTTCTCTTAGAAAGATGAAGCCAGAGAATTCTGATGAAAAGTAAGTATATATCTCTGAAGAACAAGCTGCCACATCCAAACAGTGATCCTGCAAAAAAGCAGAGGTGAGAGTGGTTGATGAATCGAAAGCAGATGAGCACAAAGCAAAGCCAGATGTTTTCCTTTTAACTTCATCTGGAAGCTTTTGTTTGCAGCCTCTATTCAGTTTCTGATTCTTGACCATGCCACATCATCCATCCAGGCTTGCAGCGTATTTTAGACTGCAACATTCATTTCCAGCCAGGAGTGCATTTGAGTTACGACTTGCAGAAGAACAGTATCAGATGCTGTGCTGAACACCAATACGACAGCTGCTGCTTTTCCTTCCCATCAAACTGACAACCTCATTCTGCGAGCACCGCATCTGGCAGTTTGAAGGTTTGATCCCAGTACATGTGGGTGCCTGGGTCTAGCAGGAGAAGAAAGCCACGGTTTGTATTTACTTCTAACACAGACTGACAAATCTCAGCTGAGCTTGGGATGAATCAGGTACTTTCAGAAAACAGGGTCTAGAGATAAAGATGAAGTTTGACTTGTTACCACAGTCAAATGTCACAAACTGTCTAATTCCCTCACACACTGAAATGGCCATTTGTGTCTCACTGCAGGAAATGGGATGATTACAAACTGGGATTTGGAAAATTCCAGGGCAAGAATGATGAATACTGGCTGGGCAATGACCACATCTATGACCTGCTCGCTAGAGGTGCAAGTATTTTCCCTCCACAGATTTCTTTCCAATTTGCATGCAATAGTTCATCTAACAGGACAGCACTTTGTGTTTAGGAGAGAGCTCACTAAAGATTGACCTGATGGACTGGCATGGGGAAAGACGTTATGCAATCTATGAAAACTTCCAGCTTGCAAATGAGCAGGTAAAAAATTGAGAGAGTGACAATTTGCTTGTTTTTTTTTTTTTTTCTGTGAGGGTGAGGTATCTGCATATCCTAGAATGATAGAACGGTTTGGGTTGGAAGGGACCTTACAGACCATCTAGTTCCACCCCCCTGCCCCGGGCAGGGCCCCCTTCCCCCAGCCCAGGGGGCTCCCAGCCCCGTCCAACCTGGCCTTGAACCCTTCCAGGGAGGGGGCACCCACAGCTGCTCTGGGCACCCTGGGCCAGCGCCTCCCCCCCCGCACATTAAAGGATTTCTTCCTCATATCTGATCTAAATCTCCCCTCTTTCAGTTTAAAACCACCACCCCTCACCCTGTCACTGCACCCCCTGACCCAGAGTCCCTCCCCCCCCTTCCCTGTCCCCCCTTTAAGCCCTGGGAGGCCGCTCGAAGGTCTCCCCGGAGCCTTCTCTTCTCCAGGCTGAACCCCCCCAACTCTCTCAGCCCGGCCCCCCAGGGGAGCTGCTCCAGCCCCCCCAGCATCTCCGTGGCCTCCTCTGGCCCCACTTGAGCAGGTCCATGTCTTTCTCATACCGGAGGCCCCAGAGCTGGATGCAGCACTCCAGACAGGGTCTCACAAGAGCAGAGGGGGAGAATCCCCTCCCTTGACCTGCTGGCCACGCTTCTCTTGGTGCAGCCCAGGATACCACTGGCCTTCTGTGCTGCAAACACACATTGCTGGCTCATACTCGTTTTTCCATCCACTAATGCCCCCAAGTCCTCCTCTGCAGGGCTGCTCTCTGCCCACTCTCCTCCCAGCCTGGGTTTGTGCTGGGGATTGCCCCGACCCCCAGGCAGGACCTTGCCCTTGGCCTTGCTGAACTCCATGAGGTTCGCACGGGCCCCCCTCTCCCGCCTGCCCAGGCCCCCCTGGATGCCACCCCTGCCCTCGGCGTGTCCACCACACAGCTCGGGGTCGTCGGCACTCTTGCTGAGGGTGCATCGATCCCACTGCCCATGTCACCAATGTGCAGCATCAGACTTTAGTATCTATCAGGGTTGTGATTACAGATCTGCAAATTTACCTACTTGGACACCGCTTGGCACAGTGTCCTGCCAAATTGTTCTTGATGAGCTAGGAAGAGTCTTCCAACTTGTTGTACAGCGTATCAAATGGTTATTGAAAGACAATAAAGCCTGAAGCCCCTTGTAGCAGCAGCAGTAATTAGCAATCCCTTCTGGAAGTTTATATCCCGTACTGATCTGGGACCATTAAAGTATGGGGCCAAAAGTCACCCTTGACTTCAACAGTCATGCCTTTGGCAGTGGGTACAATGGCCAGAGCAAATTTGATTTTAAAAATGGGAGAAAGGGCAGAAAGAGCTGGTATCAAAGACATGTTTTGCATATTCTTGCAGGAAAATTACAGGTTATGGTTTGGCACCTATTCTGGCAACGCTGGCGACGCTCTGTCTGGTGGGAGCAGTTTTGAAGATCAGTGGTCAGCCTCTCACAGAGGGATGCAGTTCACCACATCTGATAAGGATCACGATCGATTCCTGGCAGGCAACTGTGCATCAGAGAACAAGGGCGGCTGGTGGTTTAACAGGTATGGAAAAGAGCTGATTCCTCTCAGGGGCCCAGGGTGTGGGTGGCTATACAGCCCAGAGGACTTGCCTGCCTTACGGCAGCTGGAGGTTGCTGTGTGCGCTTGCCATCTCACACAGCCAAACCGAAGACGTCCACACCTACAGATCCTCAAAGGAAAGCAATCTGCTTCTTTCGTTACGAAGCAAAGCAGGTAAGTTGCATTCATTTGAAGAAAATGGGCCAGAATAAATGCAGAGAGGGGAGTAACCTGGAAGGAAAAGACCCCAGTCAAAATCCCTTAAAGTGCTTTGGGTTATATCCCAGGAAAGAAAACAACTGTGGCCACTGGAAGGTGCAGCGTGTGCAAAGGCCACTTCCCTGCTGTGGAGCACGTCCAGGGGATGAGCTACCCCTTAAGAGTCCTGACAGTATGTTAGCTGGTTGGGCCAACGGACAGGGACTCAGGGTCACCGGTCCTGGGAGCGGAGACACGCGGCTCTCAGTTTTTCTCGCTTTAGTGCAGGATAAGCCTCTTCTTTGACCAGGCCCTCGTCCCGTGCAAACTGAAATCGGTGGAGCTACAAAAATGTACACCAGTAGTGGGATTTACCTGGATTAAGACATCTGCATTTTTAGGTGTCGGTAGGAAGCTGCCCACACTTGAGCTAGAGCCTACCAAATGGCCCTACACTCCCCACCCCTGCGCCTCTGTTTAGCAGCTGAATCATGTCCCTAGTTAATACACTTGAAGGAGTCAACAGGTTGAATTATCTGACCGGTGTAGGTGTCTACTTTCGGACGACCGACATGCTCCTCTGGGTTCCACTAAAGGCATTAGCCAGCTCTCCATAGGCTATTGTAGGACTTCAGATAACCAGCACAGGCAGGTAGATCTAGGTGTCTGAATTTGTCAGTGAATCCCGCCCCAGTATTTCTAAATGTGTGTTGTGTGGAAATTGAACTTCACTGTAATGGTGCAATCCCCATGCTAAACCTGATCTCCCTTTCTCCCTCCCCTACATGGTTACAAGGTGCCATGCCGTTAACCTCAACGGACAATACTACAGAACAGGAAGGTACAATGGATCCCACGACAGTGGCATAGTTTGGTCTACATGGCACGGGATGTGGTACTCGCTAAAATACTCGGCCATGAAAATCAGGGCTCCATTCTTTGTTGACAGCGAAAGCGGAGACGGTGAGAACAGTTAGGGCAGCTGAAACCTGCTGCTTCGGAAAGAAAAAAGCACAGGCTGAAGAGAATTGTGTAAGTTAACAGCCAGCCCCCTGCTGCTGCCAATCGCCAATCCTGCACTGCGATAATTGGAGTTGCACCTGTTTCTACTAGCTGAAGCTAATGTGATAAGTTGTTTGAGCGCAGCCAGCCAACAATTTAATGGAAAACATATGGATGTCAGTCATGGAATAACCAGTTTTCTTCCTCTGCAATTTTCAGGACTTCACTGGAGAGCGTTTATGAATCATAAAGCTCTCTGGAGCTTGAATGACCAAGCATGTTCCTTTAGCCTCCCTGTACTCTTCAAGGGCTGAATCTTCCTCATCTTGATTTTACGCGTCAGTGCTTCAGTTAAGAGAACACAGGAATAGAAACAACAAGGCGATGGGGAATGGGACGTCCCCCGGTGTGCCTTCGTCAGTGCTTTGCTCTGGATCAGGAGGACACTTTAAAGCATCCCTCCCCGTGGTCCCCAGCTGCCACACGTCAGCCGCAGGATGCTCCCGCAGCGCGTGACGCCGCATCGGCGGCCGGCCGTTCCCCAGCTGCGCACAGGCACCCAGACCAGGCTCCTTCAGGGTGAACCCCCGCAGCGTGGACACTGTGGACACTGGGTTTCGTCGCCAAGAGCTTCGCGCTGCGGGCACGCCGCGACACACGAACGCAGCCGGAGACAACGCTGCTGCTGGCCAGACGCACGCCCCGGGCTGAAATCAGGCAGATTTTACTGAACTCGAGCGCAGATATTCTCACGAGTTCGCAAAATGCGGTCACGGTTCGTTCGTATGTCCTCGTGTAATTTCCCAGATGACTTTGAGTTAGCGAAGGGGAACAAGAAAAGTGGAAAATAGCTGCGCCGTAAGGCACACTGCTTTCACTGGCTCATTGGAGTGAAACGCAAGAGCAACACAAGTGACTGAAAGAAATGGAATACTGAAAATTTATTTTCCACAAGTTGTTAATAACAACAGTTAAAAGTGAACGGTAATATCAGCTTGATGCAAATCATTTAACTACCATGTTGTAGAACGAGCCTATTTTTTTTCTGAATTACAGTCATTTTTTAAACTGGTAGTTCTTTTCCATTTACTTGCTTTTAGATCCATGCATATTGTAATTTGTATTATATATCCATAAAGGGTGAAATAAAACCATCCAAGTAGGACTTAACACTTTGTACCTGGTTTTCAACAGCAGGAACTTGAACAGAAATTGGGATTAAAATCTTGAGAAAGCTCATAATCCAAGAAATGCATTCTTTTGGTGTTGGCGCCTGCTGTCCTGGGTAGTTGAGAGGGTCTGCAAGGCAAGTTTAATTTCCACGGCTCAAGCTGTCCCAGAGACAATGCAGAGACATGTGAAGATTCAGTGTAAAACTTGGTATGGTTCCTCTGCTTTAGTCAAGAGGTAAACCCTGCTCTCACTTCTTCCTAGCCACCCCGGCCACTGCAGGTGTGAACACCGGAGCGCGATGGGCCAGCACTCCAGGGAGCCGTGCTCCTAAAGCCTCTGCCCCGGCACGGCCGCACCGCTGGCCTCCTCCCGAGCACTGCCACCTACCCACGTGGAACAAAACTTGCACCTACAGCTCTGATCCGAGGTTGCCCTTGTGAAGAAATGGCTGCAAACAGCCAGAACTTGCTGTTTCCTTCCTGATCCCTACTTCTGTATTTTGCTAGGGTAAAAGCTTAGTGCAAAGTTGTAACTGCGTGTTGGGAACGTAGGGAACCCCTCTGCACTTGTTATAACCATGCGGCTGCTGATGCAGTGCTGAGGGCAGCAAGGACGATTTCTGTCTGGGCAGAAGGCACAGAGAAACGTGAGTGGAGTAAGTTAATGCCTTCTGGCAGACAACACGCCATCCCAGTATTCAGCAGAGGGCTAGGGAAGCAGGGTGAGAATTACAGACTGGTGATACTCAGCTCTGCATGCTGGAAATCAACTACCGCACCAAAGAGACACCACTAGTGGTTTGACAGTTCGTTGTGCAGCCTGTAACCCGTCTGGTAATTGAGTATCAAGCCGGACACAAAATCAACAGGGCTTAGACAACTGCTACCCAGTCCAGTTCCCCTGGGAGTGAGCAGCGGGCGATGCGAAGCCCGGGGTACGGAGCCTGTGTCAACGCGGAGAGGCAGGCACTGTAGCTGGACTGCCTTCAGCCAGCCCCGATGTGTTAACTGTGGGGTTTTTAACGTCTCTCAGAGAGAGAAAAAGGGACCAAGATCTGAAAAGCTGGGAGAGAAGGGGTCTGCCTTGCTGTCTTAGAGGTAAGATGTACCTAAGTCCATCTGAAGCGTTACAGTCGCTGTTCTGGACGCAGCCCAACACTGAGACAAGGTCGGAGGAAGCAACATCTGGGTGAGAGCCAGGCTCCCCCTCCTCAGCCCTCCCGCGACACGGGAACCCCCTGGGAGACGCGGGGGGCACAGGGCTCTGCGCAGGACCCTGCAACTCCCACAGCAAACCCTAGGAAGTCTTTCAGAACCCTCTTGATCTTAGTAAGTGGGTAAAATGCCACCAGCTGAGTACTTATTCGACCCGAGGGCCCGCCGCCCTGCTCAAATCACTCCCACCCAAGGTTAGGGGAATGCCTGCCGAACGTGGCTGTGCTGCACATTCGGTCTCCTGTTTCCCCGGGGTCTCCCGTGCTGAGAGGCTCACCAAAGCTGCAAAGAGAGATCGCAGCCCTGTACTTCCAGTGCTGACAGATCGCTGCTCCAGGGCAAACGCGCTTCCCACAGCAGAGTTTACCCCAGCACAGGGGTGGTAAGTAACCTGAGCAGCAACTGCTTCAGAGGTCTTGTTTCCAGCTCACTTCAGTCAATTTAAAGACTCGTTACATTTGATTAGCTGTGGCCCAGCCCTCCAGTGCGGAGATGTTTCCCAACATTTTAACCAGCTCCTCAAGCTGAGAGGGCACGGGCAGGCGTGTCCGGTGCAAGCGCGGCGCCGGGCCGAAGGGCTGAACGCGGGTCGACAAGGCGGCGGTGCCGGCGCAGCTCCCGGGAAGAGGGAGCTCCCATCGCCCTGCCAGCAGGATTGCCCCGGCGCTCCGGCACCGGCTGCCACCCGGTACCCACCAAACGGGGAGGGTCCGGAGTCCGGCGGGCGAAGGCAGAGCGCGCCTGGCTCCTCCTGGGCCGCCGCAGCAAAGCCCCCTCCCCACCGCGTGCCCGGCACGGCAGCGGCTACGGCACAGCGACGCTGCTCCCCCTTTAAAACTGCCGTTGGTTTGGAGGAGGGGGGAGAGGAAAAAAAAACCAAAAACACAAAAAAAAAAAAACCCGCCTGGGGTTGGGAAAATCTCTCTTTCCGCTCGGAGAGCCGGCTTTGAGAAAGAGAGCAGCCTGCTCCCAGAGAACTGAGCACATGCGGATTTCTCCTCCGCACGCACCAGGCCGGTTAAAGGGCACAGAGGGTTCGGCCCCTTCTGGGAGAGTTGTTTTAAGGCCGACAGTCCTCTGCCTGAACCTACCTTCTCCCACTCCATCCTCCGCGGGCAGCACCTCCTCTGCTCCTGCTGTTGCCCAATAGCATTGCCCTGCTCTTCGCAAACTCCCCGAAGAGACGCTTATCCGGAAAAAACGGCAAGGAAAGTCTCTGAGTCACTCTCGCTGGCCCAAGCTCTGCCTCTGTAGTTATCTGGGGCTTCAACCCAGCTCTGAATACTTGCAGCAGTGCGTAACTGCCAATTTTTGATCTCTGGTTTTAAAGCACAACCGAAAAACCCAGCGTAACTTTCGTGCTTCACCATAAGATTTTCTGGGGATCACCAGGTGTTGTCAAGCCGTTTTATGTTTTCTTTTTGCTTGCGAAGAAAGTATTCATCAAATAAATTCGTTGTTCACTGGTTTTGTTCATAATTTATTTTGAGCTTGCTGTAGTAGTAATATTGTCAATTTGTTTACATTAAAAAAAATTCAATAAAAGCAAATATGATTATGGAAATGATGGGTGATCCGATAGTTCTCTCACTGCTTTTTATAAGTGCTTAAATACTGCAGTAACATTTCTGTGAGGACTAAAATTTGAGCATCCCTTTTCTTTGTCCTCCCTTTGCCCTTTTCTACTCATTTCCTGCAAACATTTGTACATTACTGTTCTCTTGGTATAAATATTGGCAGAAAGAAAACATCAAAGTCTTGAATGATGAAAAATACCCCCTCAGTTTTAAATTCACTCCAAATATTCAGCATCAGTTGTTTGCACTTTCATGCACCCAGCTGAAAGAAGCACCACCATAGGACTTATTCGAGCAACTACAACAAATCAACACAGTTCAATAACGACTACCAGAAAAACGATGAAAACGGCTCACAACTCGAGGTCTCTGCTTTCTAAACCGGAGATGATTCACTAGTTGAGACAGATGGGTGAGGATACTGGACAACGGATGCTTTAGGACATCGTAATCTACTCGTACGCGGTCTGCAAGGTGAGAAAGGCTAGATCAGTGCCATTCATCACCTACGATGCCCGAAACGCCACTGCTTTCTGCAGCAAAATATTGGCTATTCCAGCATCACGCCTTCACTAGCCCGTGCTTTCCCGGGGTATTTGGTGTGTGTTATACACACATGCATACAAAAAATAATGATATGGAAGCACTTTCCGGTAATTAGAAAGGCATGTGTTCCCACAAGCCAGACCTGGGGCGTTACTCCCTCCTGCTCTGTGCGGAGGTGACACGATTCCTGCTGCTCCTTCCCCCAGAAGCCGACAGGTCCTGGCAGATCCTCTCCGGCGCACGCCCCTCCTCCAGGGCCGCAGCGCGTCGCTCAGATCACCAGCTTCTCAATGCTTAAAGTACTTGTTTCATCCTCTTCGTTTGAGCCAAAATACCCTGGGAGGTCGACCATCTGCTGCTCTGCCTCCGTTAAGCCAAAAGTAGTATTATCGTAAAACGCAAACTCAGGGTCCAAGGGGAAGCTCTGGCACTTGTCCCTCCGGTACTGGGCAGGGCTCACACTTAGGCCTCTCTGGGAATTATCTTTGCCAGCTGAGCCCGTTTCCTTCCGCCACGCGCCTCTGGGGTTGGGTGAAGGGCCCCTCTTGCTTCGGCCGGGCTCAGGCTTCTCAGCCGCCTTCTCCTGGCCGGGGGGCTGGCGGTCAGTGGCCAGGTCCAGCTTCCTGGCCGGGGGACCTGCCCTGTGGTGGCCCTTGGTGCCATGGCCCTGAGGTTCACACCCCGGCACGGCGCTGTGGGGCTGATCCGGCTTTTCACAAGCTGGATTCACGTTCCTCGGTTTTGGCCGCGTCCTGTCCTCCAAGCCCTGGTCCCACGTTCTGGTCCTGGAGCTGTAGAGAGGGGTCTGTCGGGGGGTAAGGGTGGACATGCTTCTCTCTCTGAAAGGCCTGGCCTTTTTAGTTTCGTGGAAGC